GACGACTCCCAGGGCCTTGAGCTCCACCGACTTCTGGAACGCGTCTGCCATCGTGATGGGCTGGTCCTCAGGGAACCACACGGTCTGATACTTGTCGGCGGTGGGCTCGTCTGCACCTACGTTGCTGAGGTCGTAGGTGGCACCGAGTTGCCCTGATCCCGCCAGGACCTTGTCGACCGCTTGGAGACTGACGCCGAAGGTGGCAGCCAGGGACCTCTTTCCGACGCCCGATCCAAACCTGCCTAGGCTTTTGCAGGGTTCGAGGATGGTGACGGCTTTAAAGTTGCCGTGGAAGAGGGCCTTGAAGGTGTCCTGGAGCTGGCCATCGAGCTCCTGGCGGCGAGCGTCTTTCTTGGACTCCTTGTGCTTTTGGCGCGCCTTGTCCTGTGGAGCGGAGTCACCTCGAAAAGGGCCCTTGGCGCGTGGACCACCGTTCACGGGGGCACCTCCCGAGAACTGGTCCTCGAAGGCCTGGTGCATGGAGGGGACTGCGGCAATGGCCTCGGTCTCGTGTATGGTCGCCCGAATCCAGCAGACGTGGTCGGCGGGGTCGATGGTGGCGACGGCTACCTTTTCCGTGCAGGCGACCTCCTTGGTGCCCAGCTGGTACACGATCACGGGGACGTGCGTGTGGACCACTTTGGGCGCCTTGGGGTGGCGCTTCAGGACGGGGACGGCGAGCTCGGTACCGACGTAGTTGTCGTTTTTCGGGCCCATGACAGCAATCGCGAGCTGGCCCGTGGCTCGCTTGCCCTGCCCGAGGTGGTGTTGCAGCAGCCGTTCGCCACTCTCGAAGTCGTGGAGGCTGATGCTGGGCTTGTACGTCTTGCCGTCGTCAGGCGAGGTGGGTTCGGCAAGAACAGGGACCTTCCAAAAGGCAGGGTCCAAGGCAATGAATTGGGTGTCCGCAGCCTGAAGACGTGCGGAACCCGATGGTGGGTGCGATGTGTCACCGCCAGTGCGCTTAGGCTTGCTGCGCTGGTAGTGGTCGAGCGTGTAGCTGATCTGGTTGGCGGCGCACATGCGGATAAGGGCGCTGCCAAGCTTCTTCGTGTTGGACTTGTGCATGTCGTACTTTGCCTGGAGCTCGTCCGCGTTCAGTTCGGCTAGCCCGTTATAGGCGGCCGTGGGGCGGTCAGACCCCGCTTGCCTGAATGCTGCGATGCAGTCCTGCTTGCGTTGAAGGAGGGACCCTTCAGCAGCAGGGCGCGTGGGGCGGGAGCTCGGAGGCTGCTTTGAAGAGTGACGGCGCTCCGGCTTCTTGGGGGCCATTGCAGCGGGCACTCTGGTGCGGAGAGGTGACGCGAATCAGTAGGGTCCTGCTGGGGCCCCTCCGGTCTCGCGAGGCCTGGGAGTCTGACTCCGAGGCGGGGCGCTTCGCGTCGTGGCTGCGGTCTGCGTGCAGAGCACTCTCGAGCCGAGACTAGAGAGAGAGAGAGAGAGAGAGAGAGAGAGAGAGAGAGAGAGAGAGAGAGAGAGCGAGAGACGAGAGAGAGAGAGAGAGAGAGAGCAGAGAGAGAGAGAGAGAGAGAGAGAGCGGGAGAGAGCGAGGGAGAGCGAGAGAGAGCGAGAGAGAGCGAGTGAGAGCGAGAGAGAGAGAGAGAGAGCGAGAGAGAGCGACAGAGAGCGAGAGAGAGCAAGAGAGAGCGAGAGAGCGAAAGAGAGAGAGAGAGAGAAGAGAGAGAGAGAGAGAGATAGAGAGAAAGAGAGAGAGAGAGAGAGAGAGAGAGAGAGATAGAGAGAGAAGAGAAGAGAAGAGAAGAGAAGAGAGAGAGCGAGAGAGAGAGAGAGGGAGAGTGAGAGAGAGAGGAGAGAGCAGAGAGAGAATAGAGAGAAGAGAGAGAGGAGAGAGAGAGAGAGAGAGAGAGGCAGAGATAGAGGCAGAGAGAGAGAGGCACAGAGAGAGAGGCAGAGAGAGAGAGAGAGCAGAGAGACAGAGGCAGAGAGAGAGGCAGAGAGAGAGAGAGAGCAGGGAAAGAGAGGCAGAGACAGAGAGAGGGCAGAGAGAGAGAGAGAGAGACAGAGAGAGCAGAGAGAGCAGAGAGAGAGGCAGCTCAGTCACACTTAAATCCAGATTTGTCCTCACCGAGTCCCACCACCAAGGGAGCGCCAGCAAGGAGATGCACATATGGGGATCCCCACGCAGTGAATCATTTGTCGATGCGTCCGACGTCTGGATTGTGCGCGCCGCCGAGGAGGAGTTCCGTGCGACCAGCCAGCCGGACCCCCCCTCGCCAGCAGGCGGGGGTAAGGGGTAGTTAGGGGGGGGATGCATCGACCCTCAGTCGCCCACTCATCGCCGATAGGGGCCCGATAGCCCACACTGGCCAGGAGCGTGCGGATGTGCTATCGGGGGCTTATCGCCAATCTGTCGGCGATATTTCCCCCCCTGAGCTGCCCCCCCCTGAGCTGCCCCCCCCTGAGCTGCCCCCCCCCTTAGCTGCCCCCTGATTTCACCTCGATGCTTCCCCCCTGAGCTGCCCCCCCCCGTCGTCACCCCTCATCTCTCTCGACATCTCATTTACGTGTCACCTCCTCCCTTCATACCACCTGTCCCCGTAATTCGTTTCTCGTCCGTCCTTTACCCTGTCACACTTGCACAGTTGAGTGCTATTCTCCCCTCCCCCCGAAGACCCCGAGGTCGTAGCCTGCCCTCCTCCGCGTATTGTTTTTTTCACGTATGGTCCGTATGGTCCACAAGAGGTGATCTATCATGTGTTTTTTCCAATCCGAGCGTGTTCGATCTTTTCCGAATGCCGCTCCCACTGCAGCGTTCGTTCCATGTTCTGGTGTTCAGCCCTCACAAATCCTACCGCTGCAGCGCTGACATTCGTTGTTGTGGATCTTATTTGCGTCGTATCTGGTTTCCCTCCGAATCTATTACGCTCCGCCGTGCTCTGCTACGCCGTGCCACGCTGTGCAGTACCATGCATCTCGTACCCTCTCGGGTTCATTGCCCAGCTCGATATCCGACTGTGCGAATAGAGAGGAGATCTGCGCCATGGTGAGGGATGGGAGAGAGGGGTGGGACGTCAGATGAGACGCTTGCGCACCGAGCTTGACCCGTCACCCTCTCCTCTCTCCTCCGTGTCTCCTCTCCTGGAGCGGGCAGCGCCCCTGGTTTGTGGGGACCTCCGCCCTCGCTACCCCGCCGCGGGGCCCCCTCGCCGCCCCGCCCCCTCGCCATCTCCGAGGGGCCCCCTCGCCGCCCCGCCCGCGCCCCAGGGACAGCCTCGGGGACCTCCCGCCGCCCAGCGGCGCGGCCGCCCTCGGGGCCGGCCTCCCTGCCGCGGCCAGGACCGTGGCGGCGGGGCATCGAACCGAGACTTCCTCCCCTCTCCCTCCGACCCTCCAGCACCGAAAGGAAGAGTGCTGCCGCAGAACATCCTCCTCCACCTTTCCCTGGAGATATTACACGGAGGGATCGGCTCGGTCCAGTTCGGGTTGGTTTTCATTCCGGTTCGGTTTTTATTGGCAGGCCGCTTCGGTTTTGGCCGGTTCGGTTTTTTGGGTTTGGGTCCGGTTCGAGCCCGTTCTGGTTTTCCGAACGGTCCAACTTTCTTGGTTCGGTCTCGATTTGTTTGCCTGCTGGGGGTCAGCTCACAGAAGCGGAGAAGCGGGGGGTCGACGACGACGGCAACACCCCGCGACGGTGGCGATCGCGAAGATGCCGACGACGAGGGTCTGGGGGGGTCCGGGGGGGTCCAGAGGTCCCGGGGAGTCGGGGGGGGCTCCGGGATGTATGGGGGCGTCAGGGAGGATGCGGCCCAGGGGGGTCCAGGGGGGTCCGGTGGTCGGAGCGGTTCGCGCGCGCGGGGGTCCGCCGGGGGGGTGCAGGGGGGTCTGGAGGAGACTGGGGGTGTCTGCAGGGGTCAAGGTGGCTCCGCGGGGTTGGTCTGGGGGTCCCCTGCAGCCGCGGCGCTGTCGTCGTTGTCGCCGCCGCCGACGCCACCGACGGCGACGACAGCGATAATACTGACGGCGCCGACGATGGCGACCACGTCAGCGTTTGCGTCGACGGCGACGAAGATGCCAACCAGGAGGAGAAGGAGGAGGAGGAGGAGGACCAGTGTAAATCCAAGATTCATCAACGATGTTTCAGTACACCCTCCCTCCAAGCTTCCTCATCACAGGCCCCTACAAGGGTTCATTCCAACTGAAGGAAATGCCCCGTTGGGGGATCACCGTGCAAAAAATATGAGTACCAAACACGATTCTCGGGACTTCAACGCCACGAGTCAACCTGCATGTTGCGTTACGACGATCCTGAATCGTTCCAGAGCACCTCTCCTGGGACTCCAACGCCCCGAATCAACGAAACTGCTGCACCCTGGCAGTGCTGAGCCGATTCAAAAAGTTGTTCTGGAACGTCAGCCAGGATAGTCAGTGAAATTCTTGTAACTTTGTGAAAACGAATGCGCGCGGCGCTACGACGAGAGCCATATTTTGAAAATGGCCCGCCGTCAATCCGTGAAGCTCTTGCAACCTTTGAGACCAATGTGCGCGGCTCCAAGGCGAGATCCACATTTGCAGAACTATCGGCTCTCAATTCGCGAAATAGGTAATTATTGGAACAGTCAAGAGCGGGTTTGCGCGGCGCTAGTGCGAGAACCACATTTTGGAGCGACCCGCTTTCCATCGTGAAATTGTTGTCAGCTTTCAAGCCCCAAGTTCGCAAGTGGCAAGGAAGTCTCAGGCGAGACACCTGGGTCGCCCTTCCGACTGGCCTCGGGGTGCGACAATGACGAGTTTTTCAGATGGAAAGAGAATGGAGGATGAGGAGGAGGAGGAGGAGATGCCCAGAGGGGGTGGGGAGACCCGGTAAGACCCGGAAAGGTCCAGGGGGTCGTCTTGAAGGCCCAGCTCGATTATAAATTAGGTAGCGGAGGTTAGACTTAAGCTTTAATTATGTTAGCAAATTTAGTTTGGTCGTCCAAATTGCTTAACATGTGTGTTTCTACGACGCCTTTTTTTATGGCTTCGCACGTTATCTGGGGGATTTTTGATTAGATATGAAGATTGTCAAAATGGCGGAGTTTCATCCCAGAAGTTTCAACCCTCCGGCGGCCAGCCCAAGGAAGGGCCCCTCGCCGCCACGGCCAGACGCAGATCTGAAAACGCCAGTGCTGCCGCAATGGCCGCCCTCCGCGCAACGCATGCTGCGGTCGCCACCGGCGCAGCGGCTCCCGCCGGCGCCGCGGGCGCAGCACCGGCGGGAGGGACAGCGATCCGCTTGGAGCAGGCGCTCGAGGCGGCCACAGCCCCGGCAGTTGCTCCACCCGGGCTGGCTGCCCAGGCGTTTGGCGCACCTGATGCCGGCGCCGACGCAGCAGGCGCGCCCGGTTCCTCGCAGCCGACGCCGATGCAGGAGCTGGGATTGGAGGGGGCCTTGGCTGAGTTCATCGAGGGTGCCGTGCTGCGTGACAGCGAGCTCGTACAGGCCCAGTCTCGACCTGATGGGGAAGCAATGCGGCCGCCCACCTTCCAGGAGCTGCTGCAGAGCTGCGCCGCAATACAGGACTGTGTACCTGCGGGAGCCGCCCCCGCCTACGTAGCCTGCTGGGCCGCCGCGATGGCATCTTGGAGGGTTGGCACGTCTCTGTCCACCTCCCGCTGTCCTCCATTCTGGTTGGCGTTCCCCCGCTTTCCTCGTGGTTCTCCAGTCGTGGGCGTATGCATGTCTAGTTTTTTATGTTGTGCACGTTGCATGTTTAGACAATTTGCGAAGTGGCGATATGCTGATTGGCTGCACGGCCGGCGACGGTGCTGGGCGTTGGCTTTGGGGTGGGTGGTGGGTGGCCGTCCCATCGGTTCTGGAGGACCTCGATTGGCGCTAGGGCGCGTGCCCGGAGAGTAGTTGGTTAGGGCGGCTCGCTCGTCATTGCGGCTTTCGGCCGGCCACCACCTCGGGGGCCCAAGCACCACATGTTCATTACAAACTCACTCTCAAGATGATCGCTGCTGGGATTGAGCAGCCCCTTCCTCCTTCCTCCTCCTCCTCCCCTTCCTCTGCACGGATACTGCGCTTTTGCACCTGTGGCTCCAGTGGTAGATACACTTCTCAGTGTACGTCGTGGTTTGTTTTGCGGCTGAATAGGGCCTTCTGCGGGCTGACTGTTTCAATGGGCCTCCTGAGCCATGACGGTTGAACGCAGCATCCGCCTGATTAATCATCTCAGGCTCGATTGTTCCCTAAACAGTTTGTCTGTCCCTCTCGCTTCTTGGCCCCGCTCCTGGCTTTCCTTCCTGTTCTCCTGGTCCTCCTGCTGTTTGGGTCTCTGCTCTGGTCCCTTGGTACGGTGCCGCCTGACCACCAAGTCCGAGTTGCAACCCTCTGTGGCACGCTGCGGCGCCGCTTTGCTGTAGCGAATCGCACTAACTCAGGGTGACGTCATCGCTGGGGTGGAATTTTGCCGTGGAAGAAAGTTTCAAGCCTCTGCGTAACGGTTGTGATCATCCCAAAACAATGACACCCACGTGCAAAATCTGCTGCCTTCAGCAGGCCAGATGCAATTTATGATGTCGTTAGGTCGTTGGGTGTTCCAACAAGTGGGTCGGTATGAACTCTGAGTGCTTATATGCGTCCATGTCGTGCCACCACCCCGGGTCCCCAACCCCCAACCGTAGCGGTTCTGTTGTCATATCGCATTGGACACGGAACCATTATTGATCGGCGGCGTGGCCGTTGTCACCTCCCATCAAAACGATGCCACCTCTATCGAACGAATTGCTGTCATAAATAACTTTGGTGCTGGAAACTGTTGACTGCGTCTTTGGACGCAATTGCCTCGGGGTGTCGGCCAGCTTCTTGGATGCTACAAGTGGTTCGTGCAACCCAGTTGTAAGGCAGAAGTGTTTAAGGTCGTGGCTGTGCTCGGCTGCATGTAGCTGATTTGCCAACCCTCTTTCGGCTAGATCCCCCCTTGTCGGACGCCCTGCCCGTCTGTTCCCATTTCGCTGATCGAGGCTTGCTAGCACCGTCTCCGTTTCCCCCCCTCCGCTAACCCACGAACGCGCAAGTACCTGTCACCATCGACCATCAGTCTTCCTCCATCCCGGCTCGTAAAAGAACATCCTCCGTGCCGCACCCCCGGGACGTGATCTTTGAGTTAAAAGCGTGCCATTTTCAAAATGGGGTGATCCCTGTAGCGCCGCCCGCGTTCATCTCAAAGTGCGCAACAGTTTTTACAGGGATGAAATGCGGCTCCTTTTGTCAAACTGGTGCCCACCTTGGCGCCGCACACATTCGTGTTAGCTGAAAGCGTAAAACAGTTACAAGGGTGCCGTCTAGGTCGTTCTCGAAATTGGGCTCTCGGCTCAGCGCCGCCCATTCTCGATTCACACGGTTGAACCAACTACAAGATGGAGAGGCTCGTTTTCACCGTGTGGCTACCGCATGATTATTTATTTATTTCTTTTTATATATATATATATATCTGTGGCACGACGGTTGAACATTCCTGGTGTAACATCTGTACAGGTAGAGGGCTTTTCATGTTTAATTGTGGTTTTCGCTTCCGTCGCTTTAGATGTCCTCAGATATGGTAACGCAAACGTAGACTTGTGCGCTCGTTGGGGGGTGGTTCTTTTTGAATACGGGGCTTTCGTGGGACACATGGTGTAATTTTCTGGTCAGATGTTGCCCATTCGATGCAACTCGCTAGAAGGACGCATGCCACATCATTTTCATAAAAAGGGACTATCGCCTGAATGGCAGGACCATGGGTAGCTCGTCTTTCAAGGGGGTCCTCGTGTTGTAGAGACGTGCTTATAGGGACTAGTGAAGAGCGGAATTAGGACGAGAGGGTTGTTGCAGCATCGTTATGCGCCCTAGTCTTCCTCCTCCTCGCCATCTCCTGGGATCCGTCGCGAACCAAACATCACCATCGTGAACATGAGCCTGGCGAAGGACCCAACCACATGCAGTTGTGAGTGCCGCAGTTGTGAGTACCGTCTTCGGTGGAGCTCCATATGGGGCCTCGAAGCGTGCGAGGGGTGTGCCAAAATGGGGGTGGAACCACATCCGAACTTTCCCAATGGGGCCTTCGGTGGAGCTCACTACGGGGCCACGAAGCCTGTGAGGGGTGTGCCGACATGGAGGTGGAACCTCATGCGAACTTTGCCACCAGGGCATTGGGTGGAGCTCCCTATGGGACCACGAAGCGTGCGAGGGGTGTGCCGACATGGAGATGGAACAGCATGCGAACGCAGCCACTCGGGCCTTGGGTGGAGCTCCCTATGGCGCCACGAACCGTGTGAGGGGTCCTTCGGTGGAGCTCCTGTGTGGCCACGAACCGTGAACAAATGGTGTGCCAAAATGGGGGGTGGAACCGCATGCGATCTTTGCCACTGAGGCGTTCGGTGGAGCTCCCTATGGGGCCACGAAACGTGTGAGGGGTGTGCCGACATGGAGATGGAACAGCATGCGAACGCAGCCACTCGGGCCTTGGGTGGAGCTCCCTATGGCGCCACGAACCGTGTGAGGGGTCCTTCGGTGGAGCTCCCTGTGTGGCCACGAACCGTGTGAATGGTGTGCCAAAATGGGGGTGGAACCGCTGAGGCGTTCGGAGCTCCTTATGGGGCCACGAAACGTGTGAGGGGTGTGCCAAATGAGGGTGGAACCGCATGCGAATGTTGCCACTGAGGCCTTGGGTGGATTTCCTCCTAAGGCAGCGAAAAGTTTGAGGGGTGTGTCGGATTGTGGGTTCAACCGCATGCGAACTTTGCCATTGGGGCTTTGGGTGGGGCTCTCTATGGGGCCACGAAACGTGTGAGGGGTGCCGATGTGGAAGTGGAACCGCATGCGAACTTTGACATTGGGGCCGTCGGTGGAGCTCCCTATGGGGCCACGAACCGTTTGAGGTTTGAGGGGTGTCCCGACATGGAGGTGGAACCGCATGCGAATTTTGCCACTGAGGCCTTGGGTGGATTTCCTCCTAAGGCAGCGAAAAGTTTGAGGGGTGTGTCGGAATGTGGGTTCAACCGCATGCGAATTTTGCCATTAGGGCCTTGGGTGGGGCTCTCTATGGGGCCACGAAACGTGTGAGGGGTGCCGATGTGGAAGTGGAACCGCATGCGAACTTTGACATTGGGGCCGTCGGTGGAGCTCCCTATGGGGCCACGAACCGTTTGAGGGGTGTCCCGACATGGAGGTGGAACCGCATGCGAATTTTGCCTCTGGGGACTTCGGTGGAGCTCTCTATGGGACCACGAAGCGTGTGATGGGTGTGCCGAAATGGTTGATATGCGGAGGGTGGAGGCGGGGATGGACGGAGGGAGGATGGAGAAGGGGGAGGAAGGAGGAGGAGGGAGAACGCTTGGCGCTGTCTCTTCAAATCGAGGACCCAACACCACATGATGGTTGGGAAAAGCACCACCTGCGCCCTCGACTCAATCTTTGTGAGGCATTTCTCCGTCTCCCGAAAGCAGGCGAAGCCGCTTGGTGTTTAATGATAGCGTCGCCCAGAACACAGGGCTAACTGGTGTCAGCCAATCCCCTTTGCATGATCCCCTCCGCTGACCTGGGTTTGGGATAGCGCGGCATGGTTTTGGTTGGCCTCGGCCAGCTCTGACCCAGATCAGCGCGCCTCTCCTCATCCTTATTATCCTTCTCTTCTCTTCTCTTCTCTTCTCTTCTCTTCTCTTCTCTTCTCTTCTCTTCTTCCTCCTACTCTCTTCCCTCTTATTCGTCGTCGTCAGTGGCTGCTTATGTACCTTTTTGCCTTGACCTTGTGGCCGCGCGCGAGGCCAACCCAGCATCGCAGAATCCTCCTCCCTCAGCTCTCTCACTTCCCCTTCTCCACCTCCTCCCCCTCTGCCTCCTCTTGCTCCCTCTCCTCTTGGTTCTCATCCTCCTCCTCCTCCCTCCGCGTCCTCCTCCAAGGAGGATGAGGGCCAGGACTGACGGCGAGGGCCCGCGGCAGGCTAGATCCGAACGCCATAATCCGAATGCAGGTGTAAAGATTCCTCAGCGTTCTGGATACCATTTTGGGGGGCCTCTTGAGCACAGGAGGCCCAGGAATGGCGAACTGCGTCAAAACTCCCTTCCCCCGACGAGGAGCGAGGAGAAGGAGGACGGGGACGAGGTGCGACTGAATCAGGGCGATGGCCAGGTGCACCCAATACCGGAAGAAGAACGGAGGGGGAGGAGGAACATGAAGGTGAAGAGGAGGAGGAGGAGGTGGAGTAGGAGGGTAAGACGCACCATCTTTGGATCAATGTCCGCGCAACGCCACATGAAATTGGTGATGGATTTGATGATGATGATGATGATGATGATGATGATGATGATGATGTTGACGATGTTTATTATGATGACGATGACGATGCTGATGCTGATGCTGGTGATGCTGACGACGATGATGGTGATGACGATGACGATGATGATGATATTGACGATGGTGATGATGGTGGTGGTAGTGGTGGTGGTGATGATCATTATGATGATGACGATAACGATGATGATGCTGATGATAATGATGGTGATGATGATGATTCTGGTATATTGATGATGGTAATGATGCTGAGGATGAGGATGATGATGAGGATGACGAGGTTGATACTGGTGATGATGAGGATGACGATGAGGATGATGAGGATGATGCTGGTGATGATGGTGATGATGGTGATGATGATGGTGATGGTGATGATGAGGAGAACGATGAGGATGAGGATGAGGACGAGGATGAGGACGCGGATGAGGATGATGAGGATGAGGATGATGAGAATGAGGATGAGGATGATGAGGATGAGGATGAGGATGAGGATGATGATGAGGGTGAGGATGAGGATGCGAATGGGGTTGCTGATGAGGATGATGAGGGTGATGAGGATGATGATGATGGTGATGGTGATGCTGACGATGATGATGATGATGATGATGATGATGATGATGATGATGATGATGATGATGATGATGATGATGGTGCTTATGCTGATGATGATGATAGGTGATGATGGGTGATGATGCTGATGATGGTGATGATGCTGATGCTGATGCTTACGATGGTGATGATTATGATTACGATGACGATGACGATGATGACGATGATGATGATGATGATGCGGATGTGGATGATAATGATGATGCCGATGCTGACGATTGTGATGTTGATCCGGATGATGAGGATAACGTTGGTTCTGATGATGTCAATGATGATTATGAGGACGATGGTAATGAGGATGGTGATGGTGAGGATGATGATGATGATGCTGAGGATGATGATGAGGATGATGATGAGGAGGCTGATGGTGATGATGATTGTGAGGATGGTGAGGATGGTGAGGATGGTGATGATGAGGAGGATGAGGATGATGATGATGAGGAGGAGGATGAGGATGAGGACGATGATGGTGATGATGATGATGATAATGATGGTGGTAGTGAGGATGATGAACATGATGATGATGCGGATGCTGA